AGTTTGTCACACTATAAATCATTGTTAAATGGTATTATGACGAAAGGGAAGTTGATTTGACATGGTATATCATATAATATCATATACCATGTATGTAATAATACTATATATAAAGCCTTACTTCGTCTTGTGGCAATTGTGCTTTAAATTCCTGCAATTTGGATTCCGTATCGTGAATAATTCCCTCAGCTTGATTCACAGCTTCAACTCTTTCTTTTTTTACTTTATCTTGCTTAGCATATTGTTCAGCATTTTTCACCATGTTTTCAATTTCATCTTTACTAAGACCGCCACTTGATTGAATAACGACTGTAAATAAAAAATAAAAATTGAATAAATAAAATAATTTTGTTTGTGTGTATAAAAACTTAATTCATTCGTAAAAAAATATATTAGATTTAATTCATACGTTTACATACTTTGTTGTTCTTTTCCAGTTCCTTTATCCCTAGCAGATACATGAACAATGCCATTGGCATCAATGTCAAATGTGACTTCTATTTGTGGTACTCCTCTAGGTGCGGGTGGAATTCCAACAAGAGTAAATTGTCCCAAAAGTTTATTATCGTTAGCCATTTCTCGTTCGCCTTGGTGTACTTTGATTTCTACTTGAGTCTGACCATCGGCAGCTGTAGAGAATACTTGACTCTTTTTGGTGGGAATCGTTGTATTTCGAGAAATTAATCGTGTGAAAACGCCACCCAGTGTTTCAATACCTAAATAATACATTAAACTTCAACAATTCTATGACCATAACTAAAAAAATAAAAAATTTATTTCATCAAAACTCAGGAGATTAAAGTCTTCATTTTGTTCAGAGAGAAGATTAGTTGTTATAAACATCATAGTCTAAAAATAGTTTTGATGAAATATATAAAGAAAGAATCATTTACCAAGTGACAGAGGTGTAACGTCCAAAAGAAGAACGTCTGTTACATCTCCAGCAAGGACACCACCTTGAACTGCAGCACCTACAGCAACAGCTTCATCGGGGTTTACTGCCTTGGATGGTTGCCGTCCAAAAATATCTTGTACAGTTTGTTGAACTTTAGGTACTCTTGTCATACCACCAACTAATAATACTTCACCAATGTCAGACTTCGTTACTTCAGCATCAGAAAGTGCTTTTTGACATGGCTGAATAGTACGTTTAATTAAATCAGCAACAAGACTTTCGAATTTACTTCTTGAAAGCTTGAGGTTTAAATGTTTTGGCCCACTAGAGTCCATAGTTAAGTAAGGTAAATTTATATCAGTTTGTAAAGAACTAGACAATTCAATCTTTGCCTTCTCAGCTGCTTCCTTTAACCTTTGCATTGCCATTGTGTCTTTAGTTATATCTATGCCTTGCTGTACGCAAAAATGAAAATGTTAAAATATCATATATAATCACTTTTAGTACACATTAAAAATAATACAGATTACTTCAATATATATACCTCTTTTTTAAATTCTGATACAAGATAATTAACTAATGCATTATCAAAGTCTTCACCTCCTAAAAAGGTATCTCCATTTGTGGATTTAACTTCAAAGACTCCTTTTTGGATTTCCAAAATTGAAATATCAAAAGTACCACCTCCTAAATCGTATACTGCAATGCTAAAAGAATATACCATATATTTAAAGAGTATGCTTTTTTTATTAATCAAAATAATGAATAATATTTTATAAAAATAGTCAGAAAATAAATTCAGCATGTATAATGCAATAGTTCTAAGAGACGAAAAATAATGGCATCATTCTTGTTTTGATGTACTTTATATGCATTAATATTAAGTTTATAATATAATTAAAAATATTGAAATTCTCACATTTTATCTTCTGTTTTATCCATGCCATATGCAAGGGCAGCTGCTGTTGGTTCATTGATTACCCTAAGTACATTAAGCCCTGAAATTTGACCAGCATCCTTGGTAGCCTGTCTTTGGGAATCATTGAAATATGCAGGAACAGTAATTACAGCATTTTTTACTGGTGTACTTAAATACGATTCTGCAGTTTCCTTCATCTTCATGAGTACAAATGCACCAATTTGACTAGGGGAATACATTTTACCATCACCTCCTTGTATCCATGCATCTCCATTAGAAGCCCGAACAATTTTATAAGACACAGTTTTCCTAAAATTATAATGATTTAAAAAAAATATTACATTTATTAACATATACGTGCGCATGCGCACACACACACACATACACGCGTACAAAATGTACATACATATCCTTTTTGACTTCAGGGTCGTCGAATTTTCGTCCAATTAATCGTTTTGTAGCATAAAATGTGTTTGCTGAATTTGTAACTGCCTGACGTTTAGCTGGCATACCAACTAAACGTTCATCATCTGAAAGTTATTTATAATTTAATTTAATTTGGTATCTTATGTTTTAATGTTTCAATTCTACTTGTATTATAAATAGAAATTAATTATAATATTGTATTTATTGTACAAATTATGTTTTATTTAACATGACTAAAAATCACTATTTCATTCACTTTTAGTTTTATTTACGTACTATATAGTCTTTAAATAAATTTTATTTGTATGTTTGTATTCTCTGATCAAAAAACAGTTATTTCAGTACAGTACAAACAGATAAAAAAAAAACACGACATAACTGAACAACACAATAAGACCTTTTTCACAAACTAATACATTGAGCAGAGAAGAAATTACAAAAGAAGTGAATAAACATATTTAAGCAGTGTGTCTTATGTACCTTAAGAACTTTCTATGTAAATCACTCATTTCACTAGCATGTATAAATGTGAATTATTGATAATGTAAATTGTTAAATATTTATTTCATACATGTGAAGACATATTTTACTGCAAGATAAATATGTTTAAAACTTTAATGTTGCACTACTTAAGAAAATAAAATTTTAAATTCTGACCTTTAGTAAATGCTACATAAGATGGAGTTGTTCGTGATCCTTCTGCATTTTCTATAACTTTGGCTTGTTTTCCTTCCATAACTGCTACGCATGAAAATGTTGTTCCAAGATCAATGCCAATAACTGCACCTTTCACGCCTTCGGATCTAAGTAAATAATAGATTTTCATTCATGATATTTAAAAACATAGTTACATTATTAACAATACATAAAAATTAAATACAATTTTAATGCATAAAATAATTATAACATGAACAATTTACTTGTATCTATATTGTTGCAGATCTGTAAATCGTTGGGGTACCGCCAATGCAGGAACCGCAGCCTGGAAAATATTTTAATTTACGTATTCTAAATATTTAATGTATCCTAAATCTTATATTTAATGTACCCTACTATAACACAATTAATTATAATACAAAAAAAAAAACTTCCTGTAACATTTGTTATAAATGACATATAAAAAAGACGTAAATGTAATAAATATCATGCTATCTTTTTATAAAATTAATTTAAAATACATAAAAATATATAATTTTTGTTAAAGGCAGGTCACGTGCCGGCTACGAAATAGCTAATGCTTAATGTTGATAAAAAGAACATTCAGCTATAGAAAACATTAAAAAAATAAAGATAGATATGAAATAATAAGTTTAATCCTATTACATGATCAAATAATTGTACAAATTCAATACAAGATAAAAATATTCGATAAATGAAATTGCACGCCGTGCCGTAAATCGCCATCGAAACTTACATTTTTAACAATTGTACTGAATTGTTGTTTTCTAGTAATGTCGTAGGTTATATTGCTACAACTACGAGTTAACAATCTTGCAGCGGTCAACATTTTGATTTTATACGTTTTATCCTTTCAAATTTATGAAAAACTTAAAAAGAGACGCGAATACTCCAACTTAATGTGTAATGATGCAACCTTCAGAGAGACTAGCACAATGCGCATACCATGTGCGCAGTAGGAACCTTCCATTTTGTCGACCAATGTAGAAAGTACTATTTGACCAATGAGTACTCTGCCCTGGAAGAATATACGAATCAACGTATTCCATGGCCTTCCTGCTCTTCGTTACTCGAGAATTAACCCGAATATTCCACAACAGTATAGATATCTTAAAGATATTAATCTTTAATCAAACAAATGATAAAAATTTGAAATTAGGGAAATAAAATATATTATATAATATTTAAATTATTATAATTGTGGAGTTGGTATATTTCATTATTTTATTATAAAAAGTAAAAGATATAATTATTCAACAACGAAAATTGTCTATGGAAGTATTACATCCAGTTGCTTCCGGAGTTTAAAAAGTGATGCCACGCGATATTGCAGTTATGTAATACAATCAATAATAGTAAAATAATAATTAGCTTAAAATTTACAAGACATGCAATTAATTATGAATATTATTTTAAAATGTACATTATTTAGAAAGTATAAAAAAGGTTAATTATATAAGCACACTGTAATATTGTTATTTGATATCGTATATGTTGCAAAAATTTACAACATGAACTGATTTGAAGTATAAAGTTTTTATTGACAAATACTTCTCGTTACATTGTTTTAAGTAATAATCTATTATTCTCTTGTTTAATTTTTTGGACATTAAATAATTGTTGGTAGCTATTAATTTTATTGTAATGATAAAAATGAATGAAAATGTTTTTGTTGCGAATTATCGACTAAAGAGTAATCGTTCAGGTCAAACCGATCGGTCGATCTGGTCCTTTCTAAGGGTTTTTTTACCTCACCTCGGAGTCGTTAGGTTTACAGCTCGGGGAGGACATGCAATTCGGAATTTACTAAAGAAGGGAATGGGCCTGCCCCTGCCATAACCGGACGGCCACTCAAAATTCCGAATAGTTTTATATATGTATATTACGAGGAATCTATTTATATATAGGAATATATAGGATAGGAATTATATATAGGAAATGAAAACATCTCTGTATTTTGATATTTTTTATTGTTCTTTAACTATATATTATTTTCTATAATCTGTCAGTTCTGGAAGATATTTGATGTTATTTTATGTACAGAAAATATGGGAGTGTTTATATTTCAATGATATATTTTTAAAATTTTTGTATTGTATATATTGTATGTATTGTATGTATTTTTTAAGTACAATCATTATTAATGTAGTTATAGTTGTAGTTATTACAAAATGTATAAAAAATATTAAATACGACATAGTAAAAGAGATACACATTAGCATGTGCATCAGATACATAATTTTTAAGTAGTAAGTAGCAAGTGTGTGTTTCATTTATAATTACTTTTATTCATTTTTGATTTAATGAATTTTTTTTTAATTTATCGTCTTGGAAAAGAAAATGAAATATACGGATTTATAGCTTCTATGATAAGGAACAATGTTGATTAACATAAGTTCTAGCGTTTTCTGTTAATAATAGCTATGTAATATTTGCTATGTACAATTACAAGTAGCTAAAAAGTTATGAATTATTCCTTTCTTTCCAAAATGAAAGATTCGGCGATCCGCTTTTGTGTATCGTACAGTTTATCACTTCGTTTCTAAAAATTAACATTGACTATTATTTCTTTTGTCCGAGGAAAATAACTATATACTATTATTTTAAAAGTTTATTCAAATAAAAATAAAGCAATAAACTTACAAAAAACGATCTCTTAGAAGAAACGCTCTAGGTTGCACCCAATTCAATCTTTCACCATTGTAACATAATATTTGCGTCATTGTGATTTTTCGGATCTCTTCTAATTGATATAAGGTAAACGATCCTGGGGTATTTCCATTCTCATACCAATATCTGTCACCTGTATTATAATTTATGAGATGTTACATTAATCAATGAAATTAATCATAAAATATATACTTTCAAAGCGAAGAGTCTTACATACTTTTGTAATGAATATAGACATCGCGGATCACTTACCAAAACGAATATTCCGAAAAGTACGGCCCAATAAACAAAGAAACGTTGGTCCTAAGACTGAGTCAGGTAATGGTGCTTCCGAAAGCAATCCTGTTACTAAATCTATATCTTCTACATTTCTGTAAATTGAAAAAGAAACTGTAAATAGTACTCGTTTCAACAACTAGTTAATGAAACAAATTATTAACTATAAATTATAAATTAAAATGTATTCAGGTTCGAATAATAAATTATTATAATTATATCTTACTTATAAACATTTCGAAGTCTTTCTATAGTATCTTTGGACATTGCTCCTCTAAGATGTTCAAAACTACTGACATGTGCTAAATTACAAAATGATCGCCATCTGACATAAGATGGCAAACCATGATCCCTTCCCTGTTGTATGATCTGCGCAGCGTAATCCACTGGAATGTCGTTGCTTTTTCCATCATGGAAATATCGTTCCAAAAGTATTTCATTCAGTCCTGGTGGCAATGGCTTCCTAGAATGTCCCGCTGTCGCGGAAATTAAATCTTGCATCCTAGATCGTCATTAAAACCAAGTTCTCATGGGGCAATGTGTTAGCAGATCGTAACAATATTTAAAAAAATGTTATCTAAATTCTATATATACTTTTAACACATTTTAACATTTTTCTTTTAAATATTATTGTAAAATCTTAAAATCGTAGTAGATATGTACAATGAAAATATAAATTGGATAAAACCGTTTTAGTTTTCTATTTGACAGAGTGTAATATCCTAACAGAATTTTTATTCGAATAAATGATTTTACATCGCAATATGTCATTTCGATCATCGCTCATCATGTCATCGAGATATGTTATTATACAATTTAAAAATTATGAATTTTTGTATCTAAAGGTCTAGACTATTATGAATCTTCGAACCTACAGATAGTAAGGATCACTTAACGTAAATAGTCTATTACATTCTGTAACTGATGCATACTTCGAAAGGTTGCGTTAAAAACTTTGCCATTTGAAGCAACAAACGACTGTACAAACGACTCTAACAATAAATAACTACGAGTCAAATAATTTACTTGAACTAATGCCATTTGGATTGACACACATTATTGTACATTAACCGTAACTATTCCTTTTGTTTTGATTGGAGGAACAAATACGAACGAAAACTTAATTTTAAAGACTAAACAATCAAATATTATAAATTACGCAATCACAATCGAGTTTAGTTTTTATAGTTAATCAATTATAGTATTCATTTAACTGACTAGATCTAATTAGAATTTTATTTGATATATAATCGATTTCTTAATATAAATATTAATTATACTAAATATGAAACTGAGTAAAGAAATTTATTTAAGTTTCATAAAGTTTTTAAAATAGCGTACTATTCGATGTTAAAAAAATGATATTGGAAAGTCTCGTAATATCACAGTAGATTGTCAAAAATTGTTGAAAGTTAACTATATTTTAATAGAAAAATGTTTACAATTAGAAATTTTTAATAAACCTATGATTAATATATAAGGTAGCTTAACGGTATCTTGATGATCTTTATCTGTAAAATTATGATTTTTAATAATTCTTTAGAATAGTTTAAAACATATTTTCTGTTCATGAAACGAAAGTACGTATCCACTACCATTTGGCATATCATAGCAGAATCCTCGTGTATTTACAGTATGTAATTTATGTTCAATAAAGTAATTGATCTTGTGAAACCTATAGTCAGACGTACACCGGACTAATCGTATCTTGTGCTATCACGTCGAACTCTATTAGCTACATGTATATGCATATAACTTTTGATGATTAAATCTTATGAGATGTACGTATGCTTAGGGATGTTTTTCATTAAAATTATATTTACATGTAATTTCAACTGACCTGTAGCGCCAGCAATCAGGCGATCAATAGCACCAGCTTCATAGAACTCTTGCGGAGCATAGAAGGCCGATAGTAAGGACCTTTCTCCAGACTTTAACGCCGATCGCGAGTCAACTAGGTCGAGGGTTTTTGGGGTCAGCGTGGCAATGAAGAAGAGTCCAGCAGAGGCGGCAGCGTTTGAAAGTGTCGCATCCGTTCGAGTATCGTAGCCTCGAAAGTATCCTTGATGCGTTAAGCGTAACTGATATCTTCCAGTTTTCCAAAAAATCGAATCATTTTACATACACATATATACAGTAACATCCATAAGTATCTAGACACTATCAAATTATTGCAAATATGCAAGTACACTAGAAATGAAGCTGTAAGGTTTAGTTTGAATCTCTGATCTTATTTCAGGCAACCATATAAAAAAGTAGTAAATATCGACGAGAACACTAGTTAAATAATAAGAGTATTTGATTCCAGCTATGGTAGCAGATAACAAACTGACAGTAGAGGAACGTTTTTCAATCATAACTTTAAAAATATAACGAATATATGAACCTTTAGATTGAAATGTACTATTGTAAGTGTCTAAATAGTTATGGGTTATAGTCATATCAATAAAATAACTATACAATTATTAATAAGACCGAATTAAAATTTTGTGGTGCGTATGTAACGAATGAAACTATTAATCCGTGAAATTAATTATAAAAGGAAAGAGAGAACACGTACTGGTCGAGAGTTGTTTCTCCGAGAACAACTGGTAGAAACTCGTTGTAAGTTATATGCTCCATTTCTGCGATAACGATCCTTCTTGCTTCCTGATAGAGTCTCTCGTCATCCCAGTGAGGATTCAGTCGTCCTAGCTCTGTAGCGACTCGGTTATGTTCACGTAGAAAAAGTACATGCATTAGAGTGAGACCGGGGTTCTCGTTTACCCGTGAATCCCCGCTAAGAAAACATGGGAAAGCTTTGTTCGCGCTTCTGCAACTTTCATACTTAGGCGAAGGCATGGGCAAGTTCTTCCTCTGTGTATTAAGCAAACCACCCTTGCCGGATCGCAGAGCTTGCGCTACATCTTCGGAACTTCCATAAACAGGGGAAAGGTCTAAGTACGATGACGCTTGGTTGATTTGCTGCCGAGGACCCAATTTGCATCCCTACGTAGAAAAATACTTTTACACTGTTTGGTAAGTACCGCGTTAAGACATTTTAACTAAGAAGAACAAAATTAATTTCTATTCAAATCCATCATAATTTATTGAACAAAACTATGCTGCTGATGGATAATACAAGAACAGACAAGACTTTCCCACTTATCTAATACTTAGTAAACACGTTACATATCAGGAATTCCTGCAAAGAGTTCCTGCAAGGGATTTCATTCACACGCTATATTTCAATTACCTGTAGCGAATTTCCTGGGTGCGGCGCCGATCTAGAATATTCCATGCAGCCGACAACATTATTGGCTCGGATTGGAAAACATTCTGGATGAAAGTGTTCGTAATCCACGTCGCAACATTTTAGTCTCGCCCCATCGGGTAGTTCCATCTTTGGCGTGTGCGCGAGATCGTGAATGAGGAATTGACCAAAGAGCGCGGTGAGCGCCATTAGATACGGATGTTTAAGATCGGATCCTCCGGAATGAACTCTCAAAGAGACGTCCCTGGCGCTAGGTAAATCTATACGCGGTAGAGAAACACCATCGACGTATTCAGTTGGCAAGAACCGTATATAAGCTTCTAGAGCTGCGCCCCAAGTCGGATGCAAACCGTTATTGCACTTCCCGCTGTGCGTTCTGTAGCGAGGATCGATCTTCTTGCAGCTGGCCATCACTTGCAAATATGTAGGCGAGTCAGGACAACTGATTGCAGTTACCGATGGTAATACGGAAGATGCTTCTTTTGATGACATGTTCAAAGCTTCTACCAGCATTACGGCCATCGTTTCTATCCGTAGAGCTTTCCTTGAGAGATTCTGAGCGTGTTCGGTCATTTCATGTGACACACCGAGGTACCATGAAGGAGAACCGTGATTCAAATGTGTCCGCGAGTTCAGGATTGCTCGCTCCGCCTGATCGTATTTCTCCATCGAAATATTTGTACGCCTACCCAGATCCAGTAACATATTTGAAGGTAATGTAGTACCTTTGATGAGTACCAACGTGGCAAGGAATCTGCGAATCGAAATCTGAAGATAGAAAATATAGCTTGTCTCTATCTATATTACCGCACATAATTATCCGAATATTACGATCGATCTGTTTTTATCTCATTATGTATATTGTTTCCACTTGTAGTTAAGCTTTAATTTTTGATAGTGAAAACGATGTTGACGGTTTATATATAATATTAAAATTCAATGGCAACGGCAGACCTTTAAAAGAAATAAAACTGTGGGAACAGAAAGCGTTTATATGATAATAAATACTGATTCTTGCAGCAATTCTAGTTCGTTCGAGAGTAATCTTGTGAGAAAAAAATTCATCAATTATCTGTAATAAACTTGGGAATAACATACCCATAGAAAATAACTTTACTACCAGTATCGTGGGAACGAAAAGGTAACATTCATTTCTTGTTACAAGCAGTACAATCATTGTTAGGATAAATACCTATTGGTATTTTATAATCTTATGGGTCATCAAGATCACCGTTAAAGGAATCTAATCATAACAAAGATAATATCTGCTAAGAGCTTTTTTTTACCAAGCAATAAATGATAATGTATATAAATTGATTTTTTATATTTAATTATTTATAGCAATTACATATTATAACGATAGTACGAAGTATTCTTCTATATCGAAACTTACATTATATTTCTTTCCTATTAATTACTTTCTTCGTACCGAAGGAAACGAAAATGACTAATTAAACGTGACAAAAGCTGAAACTTTCGTAGCAGTATGAAACCCCTGACTATTACGATTGTGAGAATATAGAAGGTGTTGAGAACACCATGATAATCTTGTACCTTCCACTTGAAGTGAACTCGTGAGAAATCGTGTATAACTTCTATTATACAGTAGTATACCTTGACGTTACCTAATAATTGTCATGTAAATTCAATGGTTGTGTTATTACCTAACTTGACAATGACGCGATAGAATCAACCATTAAAAACACAATTATAGGGTTGGGCACATTCGGATTAGAAGTTCGTGTCGTTTCTACATCCGCATTGCAATTGAAATGAAGTATGCGACAAAAATAGCTAATTTTTCACACGATACAATTAAATATATATAGAAAAAATTCGTATTATAATTTCTCCATAGATTAATCTTCTCGTTAATAAAAAACGACGCCGACACGAAGCAAATCGCGTGACTGACTAATGTCTGTTCTGTTGCAGATACTGCAATGGATCCTAGAGACCTTGTCTAGGAGATGGCATTTCGCCTCATTCTGTACGGAGCACTGTTCGTCATTCTATTTATCGTGTCGTCTTATTTAATATTAAATTCATTCATCCTTTCATCCACATATATCTTGGAGTTAAGTCTGGTACTTAACTATTTTTTTTTATCATACCGACGGGATACACGGGCGACCTTAAGAAGAGATTAAAGAAGATTCGTTGTTTGACATTTAACTCTTTCCTGGTTCTTTTGTGACTTTCTTACGTAATCTTTTCTGCGTCCACGAATAGTGGCTGTACAAATCGATGAAAGTTATTTGGAAACATGGTTTGCTCTTGCTGAAGAAAATTTTCAAATTCCCATTAAAAATAAATAGATATATATAATCGTGCATACACGTTATTTTGAGATGTGACTTGATAACACTGATGTTGGTAAATCATTAATGCTATATCTATATCAATTGTTTGACAATTCTTCCTGTTTCTCTATTTTTAAGTAGGTACACACATATAAGTACAATTAAAGAATATATAAAAAAAATTTCTGGTTGTATATATAATCTACTATATTTTAGAGTTTCTAAAAATTTATATCTCATATGATTTCATATATTTTTTTTTTACTAGTAACTATTTTGAAATGTCTTTTTGCGAATGATGATGAATCTTGTCTTTTAATTATATGTCAAGAACATTACCTAGAAAATATATGCCTATAAATATTGATTTAAAAATAATAATGTAAAAGGAACCATGACCTTTAAGAAAAACATGTTTCATAATATATTTTTTGTCAAACTTTTGATGACATGGTGACAAAGGTATTCAGCGCAATAAATTTCCATTTTGAAAGATTTATAACTAAAAGTTAGCTTTCTGATACATCGGTATGTATATCAATAAGTCTGTTTTATATTTTATCTCATGTAAAATATACATTTTCTTGCACGAACATTAACAATTCTTCTTAATAAGAATATTTATAAATATCAATCTGATGCAGGTACAAAATAAATGTTATTATATTGTTACGGGTGTTATATTGTTGTATTATATTATTGTAAACGGATGAAGCTTTCCAAGAATTATACATGTTAAAAATTTGTTTATATTAATATTATTATTGATATTTACTACGAAATTAATATTTATTCAAAAATAAATACAAGTACATGTGATCTTTTTTCTAGCATTAAGATTACTTTGTAAACTAAATATTGAAATAATATATAAAATATAAATTACAAAATATTTGCTTGTAACAACTTCAAAAAATAAATTATGTAACTTTTATTAGGAAAATAAGTCACTGTGCATTGAGTGATTATACTCACACATGTTTGTTTTGCTGACACACACGTGTTTCTATGATCTATGCCAAATCCACTCACTGAGAAAGTAGGCGACACATTACTAATGAATTTTTAAAACATTTTTAGTTTCTTTTCATTAATTAATTAATATACTAGATGAAATTTTAAAATTATCTGTAATGTTGACATTATTTTAAAAATGCAAATGGAAAAATCATTTTCAAACGTTAAATTATGTCAAACATTCGGATGAAACAACTTTATTCACAAAAATTATTCAAGTATGTAGTTGTAATCATAGGTCGCGATTCGAGATGTACCGAAGTATGTAGTCGAGATATCGTTTATCTCGCAAAATGAAAGCGGAAACACTCACCGTGACAGGAAAAGAAATATACCGTTGACCGGCCTTCGTTTCACACACAAGTACATTTTTTCCAAAACTATCGTATCGGTAGTAATTGACAGACAGTAATTGATTGTATATTAATTACAACAACGTATAACAGAATTCATTTGCCTCGTAAAATTTCGCAAGAACCGCGTCGAGTATACGCAAGAGCACGGAGCGGTAAACCTGAACTGAGACCGATCCTCGAACGAAAGTAAAACTGCAGTCCGTTCCGTGGGTTTAAAGAGTGGGGCCTAGTAAGAATCATGCTAGTGTAGGATGTCAACAAGGTACGCTGAACCAACGTATATAACTCTTATAAATACGGTAAAAGCGCATCATTCCTGCAACCGGATTGGTATTATGAACAAGACCAAGGTTTACCTTTCATAGTCTATGTTATCCGTAGTCGCGGTTGGACGTACAGTTTCAAGGATCCAAAGTACATTAGCACTTTCGTGTACATAGCACGCTGTATGTGCATAATTACATGCATGTTCTTTTACAGCATACCTCTCGTATAGGGTCTTAGTACCATTATACTGTGCTAATTGACACTTATAGGCTCGACTATAACGTTGTCCAAAGATTAAGATTCTTGGGGACGATGTTGCGAATGATTAACTGCGTTGGTTATGCACAGTCTTATATACGCCTACAATCTTTATGCGGCAATCCGTAAAATAGTATGTATTACGCGTCTCGTGCGATTATTTATGGCGCGCGTAGGGAGATAGATTACAATTAAGAGAGTGAAACAACTTTATAAGAATTATTTGTATGCTAATAACAATCTGTATCTGCTTTCAACAAACAGTTGATGTCAGTTGTTTCAAAAATAATCAAAGTTAAGTGATGGGGTCACATTTCTTATTGAATATGAAGATTTTTGCCTCATAAACGTGAATTTAATATTACATATTGGTATGTAAAAGAGAAAGATAAATAAAATAATATATACTTCGTGATTATTAAACTGGCTTACTTAAAGGTCAATGATAGCAGATGAGAGTTATACAATTTTATATTAATATGTTCAATACATTCTTTAATAATATTTTTGAAAATCCTTATTCCTAATTAATAAGAAGTATAGTACTTATGTAGTCAACTTTCCTGTATTCGTAATAAACAGTACAGTTCTCCAAAGAAAAATTTATATAATAATGGATAAAAAAATCTTTTCTTAGATTGGATATAATAAATAAATAACAAATAACTTCTTTTGAAAATTAAATTTTATATCTTGGATCCAGGATTTCTATAACTGTTCAAAGATAAAACTGTTATTAGAGAGGCTTTGAGCACTTTTATTTTCGCTCCATGTGTCACTGTTTACATTAGTCATTTCTTGCTATCTTTTGCTCCCATGATAATTGTTTATTTAAAATGTATTGAAATTATCTATGATTGTGTTCATATTATGGTGTTAATATTTATTGCTGTAATTACAAAAACCGTTTCTAAGAATGAACATCGTCTGTATTTTCAAGTACTGCTCCACTATATGCTAAGTCCCAATAATGTTCTACTTGATGTTTCTTAAAATGTTCACGCGCCATTTTTTCAATCGGGCAAACTTTGAATTTGATTTCTCCAAAATGACGTTGTTTACTAGTACCTTCCCATACAAGAACACATTTGTTCGGCACATCATTTCCGTTATCTTTTATAATATCTTCCTCCCATTTAATCCGGTTCATCATTAGTCGTTTGTATTTACTTAATTGTTTGGCTCCTCCTTCAACAACAACAACATTGCAATCTCGGAAGAGCATTACACAGCCTGTTAGATAAAGTTGCTTTGCGTTTGTTTCCACTTTAAACTTTTTCGAAGCATTATTTAAAAGATCACGTATTCTGTAATGATAGTATTACTTTTTACATGATACGTATATGTATTATATAGTTAGATAGTATTTATTTACATATCTTTAAGCTCACCTATAAACAGCTACATGTACACCAAGCGTGGTATCCTCTTTAATTTTTCTTGCCTTCTTTTCCCGTCGCTGATCAGCAGTAAGTCTTCGAGCTGCATTAGCATCTTCATGTGCCTTTAATCTTTTAGCCATTTGTTGTCGGACATGAGCTTCTATTTTCGTAGGATCTTGTACAGCTTCTGTACCTAATACTCGCATAAGATTCGAAATTCGTAATTTTGGTTCTGGAGGAGGTTCAAGACCTAATCGTATTTTCTCTTGTTCTTCTTTCCATGCTTCTCGTCTATTTTGCCTACGTAATTTCTTGCGTTCCTTTTTCGTTAAAAATACAGGCATATATATTGGTTTCAAAGGGTCAGCTAAAATAAAAAAAATAATTAACCAAAATTACATATTTAAAATAAGCGTTCTCTAAAAAAATGTATTAGGTAGTGCATACTTGGTGGTCGCATTTGCGTGGGATGTTCTACAAGATTTGTGATAGTAGAACTTTTAATGGTAGTAGATTCATCTTCGTTCGGATATCCTCCTGTTAATATAACAGAATCCCACCATTCTACATTAGGCACATCTTCACTAAGAGCTTCTGTTTTCGGCGCTATCAGCGCCAATTTAGTTGCAGAACTTATACCAGTCTTTCTGGCAATTTGACTAATCTCATTTTGTAATTTTTCTAATTGGGCTTTCATACGAATTCTTTCTGCTAATTGCTGGAATTTTCCAGGTTCGTGAAATTTGAGTGTCCGTTTGCCTCGCACTGCCGGTTTGACACCTATCCTATTATCAAAAAAGTGAGTGTCTTGAATTTCTTCTGGGCCTTTTGATTCTTGCAATTGGGCTTTAAATTCTTCACGTTTTTTTGCTCGAATATTAGCTTTTAATGTTGGTACCACTTGTGTGAGTTGCACTTCCTTGCCGGTTATATCTACAGTTCTGCCAGATTCATCCAAAATTAGCGGAGTTGGTTTATCTGGGACACTAACATTCCCAAGTAATCCGGAGCTTAGTTTACTTCTAATTTGTGCTTGCAAAGCAGCAATTTTTCTTGCTTTGTCAGAATCTGTTTTACTTAATAAACCTTGATTATACATGCTTCCTACTGTTGGTAAAGAATCTCGTGCTTTAAGTAGAGGTTTTACTGGGGCAACTTCTTCTTGTTTTATAGCTTTCAATGCTCTTTTCCTTTCCTCGATTTCTCTTTGGGCATTTGCCATCATTTGTTTTATCTAAATAAAAATAATAAAATAATATAAAATAAAAGCTATAATACTATATGAATTAATATAGTAAATATATCAACATGTTTATATTAGTTCACATTGATATGAGTTTATACCTTATCTGCAGATAGTTGTGCTTCTGTTGTTTTTTCATTTTTGACTTCATCATCCTTAAATCTAGGTTTCTTTGCATCTTTGTCCTTATCCTTATCTTCCACATGATTTCGTTTTTTACTTTTCTGCGCTGCTTTGGCATCATCATATATTGTGAATATTTTTTCCGTCAATTTTAAAGCTTTCTTGTCTTCCAATAAAGCAGATAATTTATCTACAATGTTGGGAATATTATAAAAATATATTATTTGTGTCATAGAAATTACATATCTATAATAAAGCTTATGATTACTCATATTAAATTATTTATAAGAAAATATAATTCTGATGCACTTCATTCTATGCTACGATAAAATAGGAATGTATGTGAATAGTATAATAATAGCATAATTAATAAATAGTGTTATAGTATAATTAATAAATAATACAATCAAATGATGTGATGATTGATAATCATGTAAGTGATTATTACAAACCTGCCGTTTTGCGTTTATCATAACCTGAAGTCATACAATTGACAGCCGTGGTAACAATAGCAGGTTCTCCAAAACCGAGAAATTTATGTACTGCTTTTTCGATTTGTGGCTTCATTTCATCTATTTCTTTCCTTGTTAATGCCATTTTATTAAATATGTCAATATTTGTTGCAAAGAATTAATTACGATGATCACGGTCGTATACAATATACATTATACATAGGTTCGAAGGGGATATCATTTTGATGTCATATGCATCTGTAATATTAATTCCTTTACTAACCGCATAGTGGCGCGATCATGAAATTACCCAAGCGCGCATGTGCATTTGTAGCGGTCTAGCGACTATTGCGCCTGCCGCTACATATTCGAATAAAAAAGAGAAACGAGTAAAGAGAAAAAAATGTGTGTACTGTGTTGTGTTGCAAAGGATTCGTTATCTAAAAAACTTAAAAATGTTGATTTAGAAAAGAAATGGGCGGACGCCATTCCTGGTATAACAAAATTTAACTCACAGTTGATATATGAAAAACATTTTAAGGATCATAATAAAAAAAGAAGTGATTCAAAGAGACAATCGTGGTAACATACTTTCTCCTGGTAATTCTGTAGTGCACATTTTATGTCGCTATAATGATATAGTAGTAGAACTATCTTTATCTTGTTCCATTTATTTTAAAATGTTTTGAATGAACAATAACTTTCCATTGATTATTAAGTGCTTACTTTAATTTTCAAATTTTGAGTCAAATAACGCATTACTTCTGTTACTAATGACAAACGCGTATGTGCGTGTTGGAGGAGTTTCATAATGGCGTCATCATGTGGCTAGTAAGGGAATTAAAATATGTACATCAAAATGATAACATCCCCCACCACCAAAAATTGGAAGAGTTGCTGAACCTATGTATAAGATCGTGGAATTAATTCTTTTATAAATTCCTCAATTTAATACAAAATTAGGTACTTCCCGACATAACCTCTATCAGTTAAAGAATCATCATAATATCTGTTTATACAATAATATTTTTTTCCAAATTAGATATTGGTAAACATACGCAAATATTACCGGCGTCACATTGCAGCACCGTAATTGTTATTTATTTATTCAGGAGTCTTCAGTCATCGTGGTAATATATATCAGGTAATACCAATAAGTTTCCCAGGATGTTCACGAAAATATTCCTAGAGTATGTAATGCTAGTGAAAACTGAATATAGGCAATTTTTAAAATCAGTTTTATTACTAAATAAATAATAAGACTTGGGGAGAATACGTAGAGGTGTACTATTTAAAAATGAAAATAAACAATAGGTAAATTTTGAAAAATTGTAATATTTTTTTAACATATGAGAGTCGCCCAGAAAGTAATACCCGTTTTGAAATAACAACAATACAAATGCATTTTGGAAAGATTGACATGAATAAAGCTAGATGAGCTTTTATAAGCACATTCTATCGTGTTATATGGCTTCTATACGTAGATGGATATTATTTTCTGCACGACTTTCGTATTTATTAGTATGTAATATAAAATTATCACTATACTAAAATTTTGATGTAATTGTATATATATAAATACTAAAATATGTAAATAGATGAGATGTATACACTTATATAATCAAAATGGGTAGAAGAAAAAAAAAACAATTGTTATGTAAAAAGAACGTTAAAATTTTTTAACAAATCCTGATTTACATTTTTTGAAGTATCATTATTTTGCTTCGTTCTGAAAAGTAGAAATGTTATAAATTAATTCAATCAGAATGTTTGAAGGTAAATATATAAATAAGGTTAAAATGTATCTTTTATACCTTATTATTTTATAAATTCTTTTATGTAGGCCTCCTTCTAAAAGCTACTTTTTACTTTTTTTTATTTTTATTTCATGGGCTTAACTTAATGGGCTTAACTTAATGGGCTTTATTAATAAATTGATAATAACGCAATATGTGATAATTATTACAATATATGAATCTTGTGAAAGAGACAAATGTTTTGCGCAAACTTCTGAAACCAGCTCTTTAGACTTTAGACACTGGACATCTGTTGCTGCAGAGTATGATAGAAATTCCTAAGAGGTCACTCACGCGTAATGAATCTAGATACAACCCACGCAAACTTCTACGATACCAACTTTAGATGAAACTAGTGATGCAAATCCACAAAATAGCATATGTGATGGTTCTGAAAAATTTCTTACTTTATACATTTACCTCACTGTAGTTATCAATAATTTCTACACTATGTCTCCGCGCATATGG